ACATATTGAAGGACTGATACCCTTTAGGTCAGAGATGGTCCATCCAATAGCCTTGGTGTGCAGTTTCAACAAGTCTACCAACTGCTCTTCCTGATGTGTTTCTAGGGTGGATGAGATAATGACAGGTAATCTCCCTTCTTTTCCTAGGAATGCATACTTCAGGTGTGAGGGAAGTAACTTTAACTCTAAGTCTGGTGGTGACTCAATAGATGTGGCATGGGTCTTTTTACTCTCACTCTCTAACACTTCAAAAGCAAGGGTATCTTGTACCAGGGGTATCTCACTTTCTTCTATTTCATCAACAACTTCAGTCTTGCTTAAGTCTAACATAGATTTAACTCCTTCTTTGTGGCACAAAGACTCAATGAAACTCAAGTTAGAACACTCATCTTTTTCATCCGGGTATTTCATGGATTTGAAAACATTAAAGGTAACATCTTGGTCATTCACTCTCATAGTCAATTCTCCCTTCTAAACATCAATCAAAGTCCTACCAGTTGCTAAGAATGGTCTTCCTAAGATGATTGGTGTTTCTTTATCAGCTTCAAAATCAAGAATGATGAAGTCAGCGGGAAAAATGAATTTATCCACTTGGACTAACACATCCTCAATTTTTCCTTTTGGATGAGCTATGGATTTATCTGCTAACTGAAGGGTAACTGTGGTTGGTCTAGCCTCACCTATTCCTAAGGTATTGAACACTGACAAGGGCATGAGGTTAATGCTGGCACCTAAATCACACAAAGCCTTTCCAATTTCCTTCCCACCTATTGAACAGGGAATTGTGAAACTCCCGGGATCTTTGAGTTTAGGGGGAATTTTGTTGGAAAGGAGGGCACTACAACCTTCAGTTARGGCCACAGTTTCAAATTCGTTCAGCTTCTTTTTCTTGCTCAAAATGTCYTTGAGGAATTTTGCATAACTTGGCGTTTGTTCAATAGCTTCAACCAACGGGATGTTGATATGTAGCTGTTTGAACACATCAAGGAACTTCTTGAACTGTAGCTCCTCTTTTTGATTCCTCAACCTTTGTGGAAAAGGTATATAAGGAGGAACATGAGCTATGACTGATTTCTTGGAGGACTGACTAGGGGGTGCTTGGATGATGATAGGTTCACTATGAGGGACTGGTAACTCTGCTTTCTTGTTACTTTCAGAAGAAGAAGTTCCAATATCATCCTGAAATGATACCTTCTTTTTGCCTTCATTTGGAAATAACAAGGGAAAGTCTACTTTCTCAGGAAGTGGTCCTATTTCTATTGATTTTCCCTTATCTTTTAAGGTGGGTGTGACAATATCTGAACTAGATGTTGTGACATCCATCTCAACTGGGTCCTGTGGTTCAACAGTCTTTTTCATAGGTTCACTCTCTACGAGGTTCTTTCCACTCCTTAAAGTCACTACCTTCACATGTTCTTTCATGATGGACTTTGGGATCTCTGTATCACTAGGAAGAGTACCTGCAGGTCTATTTCTTACCTCTAGTGCAAGTTGACTAATCTGTATTTCTAGAGATCTTATGGCAGTGTTTTGATGGTTCATGGCTGCGTTGGTTTGGTTTATGAATCCTTTCAGAGTTGCTTCCAAAGAAGTAGAAGATTCGGCTTGGTGGTTAGACTTGTTTTGGAAAGATGACTGATTTGCTTGTTGATGAAAGGTATTTTGGTGATGGGCTGGGGCTTGACTCTGATGATGTTGTTGAGACTGATATGGTTGGAATTGTGAAGTCCCTTGGAGTTTGTTCATTGGTGGGTTTAGAGCAGGATTGTGCCATGAAAAATTTGGGTGTTGTCTCCACCCAGGATTGTACGTTTGAGAAAATGGTCCTGATCTATTTTCATTCCCAACATAATTGACTGATTCGGAGTTGGATGGACAATGATCAAAGGGATGTCCTCCACCACAGTACACACATTGTACTGACTCAACAGTTGGAGCATGCGCGGTGGCTATGGTTTGTGCTGCTTGACCATTTTTTAAATTTTTAATCAAATTGGTCATTGCAGTCATCTGAGCCGTTAATGCTGTAAAAGCATCTACGTCATGAACTCCCGCTGTTTTGTGTGGTACTAGTGCACGTGGGTCGGCCCAATGTCCATTATTATTTGAAATCTTTACAAGGATATCATATCCATCATTATAGGTACTAGCCATGAAAGCTCCACCTGATGTAGCATCGAGCATTTGTTTTGCAGTGAGATTTAACTCATTGTAAAATGTCTCAAGCTGTATACAGTATGGAATGCCATGGTGAGGACATTTTCTTAATAGCTCCTTGTACCTTTCCCAAGCATCGGGAACTGCCACATCGTCCATTTGTTTAAAAAGACAAATTTCGTTTCTGGACTTAGCGTTCCGAGTTGGAGGAAAATATTTTTTAAAAACTTTTCTGCCATACTGTTCCAAGAATCCACAGATCCTGGTTGCAAGGAATTAAACCAAGACTTTGCCTTATCCCTTAAAGAAAAAGGAAATAATGTGTGTCTTAGAGCATCGTTAGATACTCCCGGGATAAGGAAAATGTCAGTTATTTCCATGAATGATTTTAAGTGCGAGTGTGGATCTTCAGATGGCAAACCACTGAACTGACCGTTGGTTTGCAACATATTAAACATCACTGGTTTTAACTCGAAATGGAGGGCTTCCATCTCTGGTCTAATTATTCCTGAATTTAACTGATCAAAAACAGGAATGGCATAGTCCATAATTCCTCCGTCTTTTGAGTTTGCCAGTCTGATTATTTTTTCAGCGTCATTCAGTGGTGGGGGAGTTGGTGGAAGTGGATTATCAGCCATATTGGAAGAGGTGGGAGTAGATAATAATACTCTTTGTACTCTTCATCTTTGTCTGAAAGTTCGCTCGATATCCGGATCCAATTCAAAAATCTCCCCGTGCGGTAGCCTTGGCATACACCACACCCAAAAATTAAGTAAAAAGATGGTAGAAAAATCAAGTCTTTAGATTTACTAAAAAATAAACTTTTGCCTGTCACGCGGGTGACCCGGATTCGTTCCCCGGCAGCGGCGCCAAAAACTTGTTACGCGATTTATATAGAATAAATCTCTCAGACTGCTAATAAATGGAGACTAGTGCAAGTATACACTTATCAACCCACTATCTTCTTTAACAAGTAATAGAGTGGTAAAAATACCGAGTATCGTCCACGGGAAAAAGGAATAAAAGTTCGTTTTAATAGTAAAAATAAAGATAAGATTTCAGATGGTGAATTCGAGGAAATATTTGTGGTGAGTTGAGTAAACACTACTGCTGTGAACAAGTTTTAGAAAAGAGCTTGGGGTGTAGGGATTCGTTAAGATGTTAAACCGATCTAAAAGTAGACAACATGCTACGACATGGTTCTATAGCATGCTTTATGAATCACTTATCTTTACAACTAATAGCTATGTAGAATGACACACAGTCATAAATCCAACTCTCATATCTCTATGCAAGGCTGGAATCCCGACATTGGCTCAAACTATTCCTTTTATAAGCTAAATGGAGCGAAAACGAGTCTCCTCGATTCTAAG